GCCATGGAACTAGATCCTTTCTGCTGTCTTAATTTACCATTTACATATAAATGTATTAAATTCGGCAGCATGTCCATCCAAAGCAGCCTGCCTCGGCACCTGGTCAGAAGACTGCATATAACATATAAAACCATATAGCATATTAAACCACAGAACACAGTAAGCGTAATGTAAATTAAGTGTTAATGCGTTGTACATCTTTGCACATCTTCGCCTGGCTTCCTTTGCACTTAAGAACATACAAAAGCAAAAAAAAAAAGCGTCAAGCTCACAAGTTTGGCTGGAGCTCCGTCTCTCAGTCAGTCAAAACGAATTAAAGTCCCATCTGAGCATTAGCATACACGGTGCACAAGAAGGGCAGGGGTGGGAAGGGGAGGCTTGCAGCCAAAAACTATGGCAACGGGTTTGTCCCGCAGAAAACAGAGGTGGTTCTAAGGTGCAGGGTGCAGACTTGACGGTCAGGAGCCTGAGACAGAGCCAACAGTAAAAGGAGGAAGCTCTCCTCCCTTCAGAGATACCCATTATGTTCTCCCTGGCTTCTCTTTAAAGAGAAGCAAAATAATTTTCCACCTGAACCATGAACCTGTGGGGTGTCAGCTTTCCAAATCGTTTTTGACCACCCACTGCTAAATCCAAACTGTGGTTTTATTTATTTTTTTCTGTAGAAGAGTTAAGCAACACTTTTATTTTTTTTCCCCTGGTAAAAAGATACTAAGATTTATGAAATCGCCGATGATGGGTTTTTTCCAGCATTGTGAAATAAGTAGGGATCAGCGTCTGATTTTATTTTTTATGTGCTCCAATCAGAAAATGTATTAATATATATAAATCATTAAGTACAATTAGCCTCCAGTAACATGAGGCAGCAGCAGAGTACCGCTGTGCTTTAGGAACAGTTTCTGTTTTGGCGAAACAGACATTGCGGGGAAGAACGTTTAATGAGGGAGTAGAACTCGGCATGTAGGAAACCTTGTTGAATGACAGCAGAGATCTTTTTGCTTAAGTTTAACTGTGAGGTTTGCAGTTTTTACTCAGCCCTGGACCACCCAGCAATGCCAAATTAGGCGGCTTCAAAGAATTATGGAGCAAGGGTTGTGCTTGTGATAGTCCTTTGAAATGATTGTTAATGAAAATAGAAAGGAAAACCACCGTGCAGTAGAGAATATCTGATCTCCACTTGTTATTACTTGCAGTTCGATTGGTTTCTGATAATTCCTGCAAGGCTCCCAAATGCGCATTCCATCTCGGCTGGATTGCTTCAGTGCCACTGTCTCCCCACGATAGAAACACGCCTGTTATACCTGTGAGGTACACTGTGACTGAGCAACTCTGTTGGCTAGGGTCCTCATTGTTCCTACTGTTAATCCTTCTAATCCCTCCCTGTCAACGGGAGAAGCGGTGGAGTTTGGCGGGTTCTAGTGTGCAGTGGGAATGGTGCTTGTGCTGAGGCTCACGCTGACCACTGAGCGTCGGCAGACATGTGGTCTTGTGGTACCTCACTGATCTCCTGAGGATTTATAGAACGTAGGAGAGCTGCTCATTTAAGGAGAGTCGCAGGATTAAAGACATACCTTTAAAATTCGAAGAGTAGTTTTATATTGTATTTCAATCAAGTGAACCGTAGTCATAGGGAAATAAATTGTTGGGTGATGCTTCAGCAAGCTTGTCAGCAAAGGTCCTCAGTGAATGAATAAAGATGTTATTTAGCATGGCAGCTGATATGCTGTGTCTCATCAAGGCAGAGGGGCCTGGGTCCATGGCCTGTGTCCTGTTCGAGATTTTCCCAGATCTTGGCTGAGAACGGAAGAAACACTGTCTCCTTCCTTCGGCACAGGGCCGGCACGCTGACAGTTCTCTCCAGGCCTCAGTGACAGTGATGTATGGCTGCCTTCTCTCCAGGGCCGCTCAAGACTTCAGGACTTTTTTCCCAGCCCATTCCATTGCTCAAGCTTGGGTTTCTCTGGGAGGGTGAGGTTCCTTTTTTAGCTGGCTTGAAGCAAGCGGGAGGAGGTTAGGGTGAAGAATTACGCAGGTTTCCAGTCTGAGCCATAAACATTCAGCTTCAGCTTTTTAAAAAATAAAATCGTAATACACATAAAACTTCCCAGGTGAGCTTTCCTGTGTCTCTTCGAGACAGCAGTTGGTTTCTCCTGAACGCACTTTCAGAATCCAAGACAGTTTCTGTTTCTCTTTGTTTTTATAACTGTAGATTGCCAACTATTTTTGTTTTACTGACCCAGCCTGGAATAGTGATTTGTGAGTGTTTCATGTCCTGGCTCTCAGCTCAAATCCCTGCAACTGCAGGGGTTGAGAATGAGGAAGTGAAGGCAGACTCCTCTGACATCTTTAACACCGTGCAGTCCTCCACCCCTTACTGAAGGACCACTGCCGGTTAGATGCCAGTCCCATCGCTCGTTGAAAGCACTGCACCGTGATCCTGCAAGTGCTCAGGAGGTCTGCTGGGGTCACCGTGATGCTCAGAGAGCCCCGACCGGTTAATCCCAACCCGCTCTTCCCGAGCACTGCTGCATGGGGAATCATGGTCCCAGTTTGCTAGCAACGGGACTCCAGCTCGCACCCATGATCATGGAGCCCGGCTCATGTTGCTTTTACTGGTTGAGCCACCCAGCAGGCCATCACACCTCTGATCATAGCACACAGTATGTGTCGTGTTTGTATTATTATTTTATGATCGTATTACGGTCTGAATCTAGACAGCATGTACATGTCAGAATGAAATAAAAACTACAGTCAGAAGATGAAGCTTCAGGATGGGAGGGGTTGTGCACGAGGCTGGGTTTTTTCTCACAGGGAACCCCACCCTCCCCCCCCCGCCGTGTCCCATCCCTGTGTGCCACACATCCAGGTGGAGGGGTGATCCTCCGGGGATGGACGGAGAAACGGCTCCCCCGGTTGGAAATGCTGTGTTAATGCCTCAGTGCAAAAGATAATATTATTAGTTGCGTGCAGTTTGACAGTTTATTGCAGCTGTGGGAGAAAATAGGAAAAGCCACCATCAATCAAAATGTCTTTCTTTCCCTTTTTCTTTGGACACAGGGCTTGCTGTACAAGATGTAGTGGCCACAGCAGGCAGTAATTTTGGAGATTTATATCAGCAGTTGAAGTGTAAAGGGGCCCAATGTGACAGCAGTGTTCATCGTCAATAGCCCTTCTAGTTTATAGACTTTTTCTTCTTTATTTTGTGCCGAAAAAGGCATCTATTGAGGTCTGAGAGAGAAAGAATGCGAGGGCCTGGTAAGTGTTTTGCAGCAGACTTCTTACAAAGCTGAACAAGGCCTTCAAATCTCCTCCCAACAACAGTCGGCCTGTTTGTTTCTGCAAAAATCGGAGCTCGAACTATGCAATTAAAGAAACACCATGTGGATTGACAGTGTCGTCTTATAGCTAGGCTCTGGAGCTCTGCTGCTCATCACATGACCGTAGTCTGGTTTTTGTTTTGGCTGAGCTCGTGATGACTTAATTGAACTCTCAAGAGACCTAATCATTTGTTACTCAAAACATTTTAAAATTTGTTTTCTACTCCCCCCCCCTCCCCAAAAGAAAAGTTGCAGATTTCAATACCCTTAGTTTGTTTTTTTAGTTCAGTGGTTTCAGAGCTGAAAACAATTGAGACAATCTAATTAACCTGTGCTTAGTTGAACCAAAGGGTCATTGAAGGCACTGAGAGACCATCTGGAGGGAAAACCAGTCCAGTGACAGAATCACACCTGATTTTCTCCAAACTCATATTGGCCCGCAGTTGTGAAAATGTGATTCTCCTTTCACCATTACTTAATAAAATGGACAATTCCTGAAATAGGAAATTCATCAATTTTATAGAGTAATAGTTTATAATCCATTCGTTTTACCAGTGATTTCAGTCAAACATCCTTAGAAGTCCATTTGCTTGTTTAAATTATATACCCATTCTATTTTCGGACAGTAAACCAAGCCTGTGAAGGCTGTTGTAGTATTTCAGCCTGAGTAAACTGCACTGCATTTCTTTTCACTTGTGCTTCAGAAGATTTAGATCTTAATTGAATGAATGTCAGCAACAGGGATTTGTGAGATTTAAAAGTCAACAATAGGTGCTCTGACTCCTCCCTCTCCTCTCTGTATCAGCTCTGTAGTGTGAAACCCCTTCTGTGCTAACAATGCACAAGGGACAGCTGTGAAATTACTACAGTAGAAAGAAACGGAAATGACTCAATTAGGGGGATAAAAGTATTACTGCATCTAGCCCATGGGTGCCAATTATATTTTATATTTGTCTGTTCCTTGCTCCATGTGGGACAAGAGTTCCCAGTTATTCTGTTTCTTGCTGTTCATGCAGTGAAGCACGTCTTAGCTACATGGAGCTCACTCACACAAGCCTGATTGGTCCTGGACTCATGGTTGACTGGGCCTCCTCTCCTTCTGCATGGGACAAAGCCATGATAAAATGAGATCTAACTCCTAGTCTGGTTTGCATTGACTGAATCTTTCAAATGCCATTGACAGATTTTTCTCAAAATGAGGTCTGGAGTGATAGGAAGCAAGAGGCTTTGTCCACTTGCCCAGAGGTGTACAGGTACCAGGTATCTCTCAGTGGCTTCAGCAACCCAAGGGCTAGGAGCAGTGTCTAAATGAAATTTTTAATGGAATGTAGAACTATATCAATGCCCTTTCCAAGGTCTGCCTCCACTCGTGGAAATTGTTTTACAGTGCAGAGGGTTGGCAGTTTCCTTGGATAGAGAATCACCTCTCTTTTTAATAGAGGATTCAGTTGGGAGTTCATATGTATGTCAGAAGAATCAGGTCTCTTATGAGCAGTTCTTCACATGTGGTTCTTAACAGTAATGCTGTTAACGAGATTGTATAGATATAGATTGTATCTCTGTATGAGGCATGTATCTCATTTTCTCTCTACGTTCAAATCTCGTTTCCTCACTCCCTCTCTCTCTTTATACCCTCCCTCTTCTTTTCTCTCCCTCCATCTTTCCCTCTCTCTCTGTCTGCAGGGTGTCTCCGCTGCAGAAATCGGAAATAGTGGACATGGTGAAGAAGCATGTCAAAGCCATCACTCTGGCCATTGGGGATGGTGCCAATGATGTGGGCATGATCCAAACAGCACATGTGGGTGTGGGCATCAGTGGCAACGAGGGCATGCAAGCCACCAACTCCTCTGACTACTCCATCGCTCAGGTCAGAGGTCCCAGGAGCATGCCTTTTAGTAGTCGAGCCACTCGAGAGCCCCAGATTATTTCCTTAATTCTCAATTGATTTTTATCATTGTACACTCCTAAAAATTCCTCCTAGCGGCGTTGTTTGTGGAGGGACTCTGTGCTCATTGCCAATGTTTCTGATTGACAACAGGACTCACAACAGTTTTATATGGTAAAATAAGTCTCACCGGAGAACATGAGAACAAAAGAAAGGATACCAATGAGAGTCTTCAAGGTCATGCACTCTGTAAAAAAGCAGTTAAACTTGAATGCCAGGGAAACTTAATTCATGCTCAGAACTTGGTTGTAACCCTTTCTTCAGCTTTGAAAATTAACACTTTTCTGTGCTACACTGTGCCAGTGTCAAGCTTGTCACTGATAAGAGCTGCACTATTAGTAACAAGAAGAAAGTCCTAGCTAGATTGCTTGAGACTATTTTAATGCCAGCCCCGTTTCTGTAAAGATCATGCATTGCCGTTTTTTCATTCTGTTCTTGTCATTGCCTTTTCACTGAGTAATACAATACCTTGGACACCGTATCTAGGCAGTGAAATCGACCACCAGAGCCTGGTTCCCATTCTTAGTTAATTGCTTCCTCATATCCACATGCAATAATTTCCCCTCAGGTATTCAAGGCCAGACAATAGCATTGTTTTTTTGTCTAAATAGCTTCCACGTGTTTGCGTGCCATGCTGTGCAGTCGCAGGCATGGTCATTAAGACAGGTTTCTCGAGGAGGAGGATGTGAAAGAACCACCCTGGACACAGTATACAGTGTCCAGCTGCTAAGTCTGTCCAGTGTCGGAATGCAAGGGGACTGACACTGCACAGAGCCTCTGTGGCTTGGCTCTCTTCCAGAGTAACTTAAGCGCAGTCCTGCAGGAAATAACATTTTCCTTATTGTTTGTTTTTTTCCTGTAGTTTTCCTACCTGGAGAAGCTGCTGCTGGTTCATGGGGCTTGGAGTTACAGCAGAGTGACCAAGTGTATCCTCTACTGCTTCTACAAAAATGTTGTTCTCTACATTATTGAGGTAGGAACAGTCATGGCAAGCAGGGAAGGGCTTTTCTGTACTTCTTTTCTTTTTTGTTTTTTATTCACAATTTTAATTCTCTTACAGTTTATACTTCTAGTGGGGGCCTCAACAGCTGAAACTACCACACTGGAATGTCAACAAAGCAGTTGTCTGTTGTTTTTTTTTTTTTAAACACGAATCAAACACTTTCTGTCAAACAAGAGCCAGAGCTCAGCTTTTGCAGTGTCCTGTTTCTTTTCAGGCTTTATATAACTCTGCTTTGGCTTTCGGGCTCCGTCAGGTGAAATCTTCGCCCTCTCCTGCTGCAGTGCTCCCTGACGCAATGCCCAGCACTGGCTGAGGAAGACACAGGTGTGGGCTGGTGCAGAGGAGGTTGTCCAGGCATGGGGGGTAGCATCTGTCACTTTTCAGCAGACAGTTACTGGCCACACCCTTTCGTAAGGGTGCCCTGTGGACGATTGGGTTTGCTCCACCCGGAGACTGCAGCTTCATTCAACTCATTTAATTTCAGTTTATTTCATTCGGTTTTTCCTTGCATTGACTTGGCCTTTTTTTTGTTGTGAGTTACTGTACATGATTCCTCTTTTAAAACACGCCTAATTTAGCAAATAATCATGGCTGTGAAGTAACTGAGAGTGTAAGTCGAGGAAGAAACAGCAGAAGCTCTTGAGGACTGGAGCTGCGTCTCCAGCTGAGCCCTGGCCCAGCCAGTGAGCAGGGCGAAAGCTCGGTCTGCAGCTCTCTGGTATGTTAAAAGCACTAGAGGAGCTAATCCAGGCTAGCGGAGCTGCCATGAGATAGCGTGCCCTTTAACCTTTCCCTCACAGACTGCTGATAGATCGTCTCCTTTAAAAGTTTAAAAAGGGAGGACTTGGAAAGCCTTTTGTGTTTCATTCAGGTTTTTTTACAATAAATATTTATCTCAAAAAAGGTTTCTTTCCCCATGACAAAAATCTCTTTTATTAGATAATTTCTCCTCAGCAAAGAACAGCTTCCAGCTCCACATTTCATCTCAGCAGCCAGGAGTCCTTTCAGAATCGTACATTAGTACTGCACTGAAATGCTAAAACAAAGCAATTCCTATTAACTGAAAGAAATGTACTTAATTCAACTGCATCTTTGTCAGTAGGTCTACAGAGCTCCCACGGTTTATGAAATTCGCAGTGAGGCCCTTTCTTAACCGGGCATAGCTCAGAAGCTCTCATTTCCTGGCCGGCTCTGAACGCTTGGTGCCGAAAGACGTCGACCTTTCTGTCATGCATGCAATTTGTCAGAGGCGCGGCTCCTTCTCTTGTCTGGCTCACTTCTGAGGGATGTCGACAGATGCCATCAAAATGTCAGCAGCATTACGGGATGGAGGCATGTCCAAATCTGGCACCGCAGTACAAATGGACTGGAAGGCATTAGCAGTAAATGCCACTTGTGACAGAGTGAATTCCAGTCCTCCTCTGAGTGCAGTGCGAATGGAACCTGTATGCGATGAAATCATACTGGTGTATACGCCTACCACCAAAATGCCCCCCAAAAATCAACAGCATTGTCTATGGAGAGGCTCTGCAGGTATTTTTATGGACCAGAGTAAACTTTGCTAGTTACTAGTCCTGCCTTTCAGCCTTACCATTTCTCCTTTCAAGTCTTGTTATGGAGAACAACTGCCATTTTATCTGTCTACTGTAACAGCACTAGCTGTACAGAACGCTGACTTTGGATCACATTGGCCCCATATGGCACTTCCAGATCTGCTGTCTGTAACACAAGACACAGACGAGGGGACTGGGAGGTGGAGCACTGCACAGCGAGGCACAGCGAGGCACAGCTGTCGGTCTGCTGCAGGGGAGCACAGCTTGCTCCTGCTCACAGACATGTGACAGATCTCCCATGGACACTAAGGGGACTCTGGTCAGCCTGACTGGGGCAGTTTCCATCAGCACTTACTGTAGATCCTTATCATTGTGCAGCACAACCCAAAAACTTTTTACATTCAATCTTTGAAATTCTGGGTTGATGTGCAGTCAGTGAACTTATAAGAGAGGCATCGCAGTTTGTTTGCATATGGTGTATTTCTGCAACTAAAGCTGGACATTATTGGTTATAAGATATGGATTTGACTGTCTTGTGCCGATGTGTCACTAGAGTGCCCTTATGCCGTGCATTGTTTCAGTAGCGTTTCACTGACCATCTGGAGCCAATGTTGAGGGTAACGCACAAAAGGCAGGTCTTTGTGAAGTGGGCAGCAGTGTGCCTAGGTATACTAGAAAACTTAAAGAATGTGATTTTTTAATGGATGAGTTAAAGGACTTCTAATATGGGTATAGCCGCATGTGACAAGTGCTTTGGAGCTAATGAATTAAAATTCTGTTACAAAAGGGAAGGCCTGCTTGTGATGGGAATTGTACTCTCCACTGAGAACCTAAGAGTTCTGCTTCTGCTTGTGAACTTTGACCTCTCCATTGCTGGCTAAAGATTGGATGCCGGCAGTGGAGTCAGCCTAAAGGTCAAAAATCAGTCCCTGGCTTTTGTACACAGCAGGACGGGGGAGTCTGAGGTGACACACAGTAATGTCAACACACTGGGGTTCGTCTCAGGGGACAGAGGAGTGGGGGGAGATTGATCACATAATACAGCTTGCCGTTCTCATTCCATGATGGGACAAACAGTTTGGGGAACCTCACACGGCTCAGAGTTTGCTGAGTTGTTCTGCGCTCTCTGATCTGAACCGGAAAATAATAAATTACAATTGGCTGCTCGCAGGCAATGGGTGGCAGTGCTGTTCATGAGCAGAGCTGCAGTGGGATAAGTGCAGGAGCCCCATTAGCTGAGTGCAAGGATATTGGGCAGCTGGGAGAGAGCTGGGATGTGGTGAATTGTGTCCCAGTCACATCAGCTGAGAGAGGGCAGTGTGGAGCAGCTTTAAGAGTTCAAGTTCCCTGTTTTAGCCTTCAGCAAGATGCCCTGATATTTCCATTGAACACAACCTATATGTATTAATGGACACCACCTGTATTTGCTGGGTGGGTGAGTTTCCTGTAATGGGCTATTTCACAGGAAGGTGGGTAGCTGTGTCAGCATGCGTAGGCTGCAAAGGAACAAGTAATAGGTTTATTCCATTCTGAAAAGAGAAAAGAGAAAAAAGGAAACAAAACCGAAACGTTGCGTTTTCTTTCTTCTCTTTTCAGAATGGAATAAACCTATTGTTCCTATTTCACAGGAATGTAATATTAAAAGTACTCACGTTTTCTTGTTTATTTTTGTTTTTTAAAGAAATAATAATAAAAGTTAAACATTTTGCTTAAGTACTCTAGTTTCTGCCTTAATTATATAACCAAATAAGTTTTGATTTTAGGAATTATACACATGGTTTTCTTTTCTTAAAAGCATCATCAATAGCAAGATAGAACCTTTAAAGAGAGATGTTTGCTGCAAGGATTTGTCAGTAGTTTCACTGGCTGATGTCAGCAGATTTCACCTCAGAAGAGTCACAGTTTCTCTTTGTCTCTGCCAGAGAGTAAAGCCTGTGGTATTTTTTCTTTTTGTCAGGTTTCCTGTGCTCTCTCCTTCCTGAAAGGGAATACTGGCGAGAATGACAATAGCTGGTTTGTAAAAGGAATTGTTGCACCGTGTTTTCCAAAGATCTTTTTGGGATCTGCAATACAAAGAGCTGCTGAAGGCTTGAAACTGGGCAAATGCTGTTTGCTTTACTGTGGCTTCTGACTACTTTGGATTCTCTCACACTTTCTAGAGAGTCATCAGGACAGTTATTTTTTAAATGCTGCTTGTTCTTTTGACTTTGTCTCATTTATCATCCTCTGTCTGCAAGTTTTCCTGTTTCCTGGAGTTTGCCCATCCTACTCTGTGTTTTAGGGACCTTGTACAAATGTGACTGAAGTGTACTGTGGGCATCCTTTCTGGCTGCAATCTCATCCAGTCTCCTTCGCTGGGAAAGTTTCACTCAAGACGCGGGTCTGACACTGGTTGAAAAGACATTACAAGCCACAGTAAATATTTTATTTGAAAAACAAAGCAGACTCTGTGCTAAAGGCTGCCATAGGTTCCCCTGTGCCAGATCATTGTAAGCTGAGCATTTAAGGGCTCAGTAACAGTATCCTTGAGGTCTGGGATCTGGTTTTCACATTATCTGTGCACATGTCCCAGTTGGGCATTCTTAGAAAAACAAATAAACAGAACGTGGAGACACAGCGGTACTTGTGCATTGAAGTATGGAAGTTGTAATTTTCTTCAATACCCCAAATGCTTTGGTCCCCCTAGTTGGTAACAATACCATCCCTTCTTGTAAATGGAAGCTTGTTTTTGTCTCAGGCAAGCTGTGAGTACTCTGCCCCACTCTGTGTGTCCCACTCTAGCGTAGCTTATGTGCGAGGCTGGGACAGGGGACAGAGGTCAAGGGGGTGTGGGAAGTTGGGGCACCATGAAGAATCGGCCTGATTTGTCCCTTGGCTAAACTACCTCCACTCACTGGAGGATGTCAGCTGATTTTGTCCTCCAACAGCTTCCCATGCACCCCTGTTTAAACTCTCTCTGCAAATCACACTTTCAGCCTTTTATGCAACTTGTTTTGTATTCAAGAAAAAAGTATTTTCTTAATGTTTGTTTTATTTGTGGGAGTGTTGGGGCACCTAGAAACACACCTGTACTACAGTGAGAGCCGTCCCAGGTTCTGCACTAAAAAGGGAGTGCTGATGGTGTTTTCTGAACAGAGCTGGTGATCCGGTGCACCATGGGTGGAAAGTATGGGTCATGTAGTGCTGTGACCTGAAATTATACATGATCATTTACAGAGACAATGAAGAATGTGACCTTTGAGCTGTTCATCATACAGTAGTGTCTCAGGCTTTCTCTTTGCAGCTATGAAAACTGTTATTTAATATTTTGGTGGAAGACACCATATAATTTTGGCAGTTTTCGCTTGTCTTTTCATCTAGCTAGCTATTTGATTACATTTTGTACTAACCAAGATGATTAGAATTTGATAGTTTATTTTTAAATGACGGGAGGGTGTGTGAATCCTCTTTTGATGGGTCTGCAAATAAGGACACACCATTACAAGCACAATGTAAAGAATGTGTCTGAGACGGAAATTTCAAGGAGAAGAGGATTCTGACATAAGAGCCGCTGGACTGTGTGCCTGAATCTCCTGTAGACATTAAACATGTTGCAGTGAGAGCATGCTGATGTGGAAAGGGTCCCAGGTTGTGGCTTTGCTCTGTCTTGTTTTAAATGAGCTCTCAGAGGGGGCGGAGGGGGGGTGTTGCTTATTGTAGCTGTCTGAGGTCCTTGGGGATGTTCTGGTGCTACATCTCTTGGCCAGAAGACACTAGGTTCTGAGGTTGACTGCAACTGTTATTAGAAATATCTATCTCGTTCAAAGCCGTTGGATACAAACTTCCGGTCATTCCAGCATAGACAGCACATCTGTACCCATGCTGGAAATGCTGGTCCTATGCATTAGACCCTGTCAGAAAACCTAGACACCAGGACCTGCTATGTGTTAACTTCTGCTTCTTTTACAAAAGAGCGTCAGAAGATTACAAACAAAATGCCACCAGTGATGCAGTCAAGTTTGATAATGTTTCTCTTAGGCTCTTTATGAAATGAGGTTGCCCAAATGATGACTGTCAGGTCAAAGAAGAGGCTCTGAAGCCATCAGATACAGTTGTATGCAAGCAGCTAGCTGGTCAAATGGACAGACATCATTAGAGCCCATGTGGCAAGCTGTTTAAATAATTAAAGAGAGTATGCACACAGCCATGAGCACAGTCAGTTTTGGATAAGGAACTGGGAGCAGTTCTTATCTTGACCGATCCTGACAGAACTGGCAGCCCCTGTGTAACTGTTGTTTTGATTAAACTGAAAAATGCTGCCTGAAGTTGTTGTTTTCCAGGAAAGGCTTTGTGGAAAATATTAATAAGAATGTATCTTTAGCCATAGACCAAATAATATTTAGCCACATTCTTCTTAATTCTAATGTGTGTTGTAGAAACTTTTTTTGCTCGAAAGTGATTTTAGTCTTAATCGCACTAGCCCTAACCTTTTCAGTATAAAATATTACTTTGTTGATTGAATGAAAAATGTGTTTCATGTACCAAAAAAAAATGTTTTAATCACTGACAAATTGCAAAGGACATCTAGCCAGCCAACAAATGGTGTAATTAATGAGTACCATGACTTGTTAAATATGAAAAATGGATTTCCTAGTTATTTTACAACAGGTTAGGAAACCGTGCTTTACTCCTACACTGTGAAATAAACTGTATGCATCCGTTGGGAAACTCCTGAAGTTCCTGTCTGGATTACTGAACTCCAGAGAAGGGAAACATTAATTCTCTGGTGTGCCATGTACCCCTCTTGTTTTTCAGCTGTGGTTTGCATTCGTTAATGGATTTTCTGGGCAGATCCTGTTTGAAAGATGGTGTATAGGTCTCTATAATGTGGTAAGTGCTGGGTAGTCTCTCTTTGATAGCATGCAGAACTACACTGGAATTCCACTGTGTGTTTATGTCTATAAACTTTATCATACTCAACCATCAAAATGGCTGAGAAACAGCATTGAGTTGTATACCCAAAAGAAGATTCTTTTCCAGGCCATGGAAACCAAATGATACAGCTTGTGTTTAACACCATGTATAGAACACATGTGCTGATAAAGTGCAGATAAGTGTCTATGTACACATTGGGCTCTGTATAGATCCTGAATCTTTAAAGCCCAACACTAGGCCTCCTGGGATTGCACCAAATAATCTGTCTTTCAACTGCACGCTGCATTTTACAGCTGCCTTTTCTTGTCTCTGGTGAAAGAGGTTGAAGGAAAAAAATACTTTTGGCTCAAAAATAGCATAGAAATGTAAATATATTGAAGCTCCAACACTAAGCAACTTTCACATGACATCATCCTCTTTAAAATCATCTTTATTCTTAAAAGAAAATAAAAAAGCATAATCCTGTCCAAGGGTACTTTTGTTGCTGCGTCCAGTCAGCAACACACTACTGCGGAATCACACACATCGTATTGCAGAGCAATAATTGCAGTTAAGAGGAGACTATTGAGCAGGAAACGATAATAAAGAGGAGCAATGGCTCCGAAAGCTGGACTTAAACAAACTTTGCAAGTCTTATCTCCTGTGCCGAAGGGAAGGTAAATGGCCATTTCTGGGATAAGGGCTGTATCAGTGACCTTGATAGTGCAGGACCTATCTCTCAAAGAAGAATCTTTTTCCCTGTCGGGACAACTGAATCAGTGAGTGGGCTTGGCTTGGGAGATGTCGACTGTGCTCATGCAGCCCCGTGTTTGCGGTCTGCTCCGTTACAGATCTTCACGGCCCTGCCCCCCTTCGCCCTGGGGATCTTCGACCGGCCCTGCAGCCAGCAGAGCATGCTCCGCTCCCCGCAGCTGTACCGCATCACCCAGAACGCTGACGGCTTCAACACCAAGGTCAGCTCCAGGGGACAGGCGGAAGGACCTGCAGGCCCAATGAGAGGGCTGCACAAGCAAGCAGGGGGCATCCCCCCGATTTCCATTTAACTTCCTTATCGTCACCTTGTTTTACAACACCCTGCTGTAGTGGTTGAGCCACACTGGCACAACTGCAGCTGCATCCATGAGCTGGAGCAGACTCACAAACACATCAACATATGTGGTAACTTAATCTTACAGTACATCTTGCTGGCCCTGATTTAGGCTGTGCTGTTGAAATATGATCTGCATACTGTACCTCTGGCGTAGGAGTACTGTGGGAATACTGGACAGTGCTTTTTTTTAAAAAGAAGGATTTTTTTTACCGTATCTTAGCTGGTTTGATTATATAATTTTACCCGTGTCTAGCAGTGCTATCCTGTACGTAAATCTATATGTCATATTGAATCAGACCTGTGGATTTCCCTAATAACTTGTGAAAACACTTTACAAGGCTGGAGAAGGTGACGAATAAATGTACAAATCATGGAATCCTAGCGGTAACTATGACGATGATAATGAGATTCAATAGCAGAGAATAAGGAAATCATTCATTTCCGAGCAGCCTGCTGGGCTGGGCTGCGGGGGGGGGATTGGGGTGCCTGTGATGGTGGGTGGATGTTCAAGCACCGGGGGAACAGTGCAGGGCTTGTTTGATTGGGGAGATGTGGGCTGTGGGTCTTGGCAGCTTCCTGACTCTGCTGGTATGGCTCTCTCCCTCAGGTGTTCTGGGGTCACTGCATCAACGCCTTGGTCCACTCTGTGATTCTCTTCTGGTTCCCCCTCAAAGTGCTGGAGCATGGTAATTATGCCATTAGCTTAAATGTCAGAGCACGATGCAAACATGTGACCAGGGCTCCCAGCCAGTCCCAGTGCTGAAAAGCGGTGGTTCAGCTGCCTGGGTCAGACACATTTTGACTGCAGGCTTCTTTTTAACAAGTACAGTACTTCAAATTTCATTTTTTGGGGGTTCTTTCAGTTCTTACGTTTTTATACGGTTTCTTGTTTTCCTTCTGAAGTTAAGTTTGCTTTCTTACCTTGGGCACAGCTTTCCGAGAGGAAGCTGAAACATTGTTACCACTGGCCGGGAGGGGAGAATTTACAGCAGCTGAAATGATTTAAAGTCGATAGCTCAGGCCCTCAAGTCAAGAAAATAAAAACGGGGGAAAAGCATTTACAGATACAGTCTATCATAGAGGCTGTTTGTAATGTAATTAGAAGTGATGTGCATGGATTTCACTGTGCTCTTAGGAGTGTTCTGTAGTACTTAGAAGTTAAAAGTGTTTGTTTTTTTTTTGCTCTAAACACTTTCAGAAAAGGGGGAGAAAATGAAGGGGGTGAAAAGTTTAGATGTACTGGCTCCTTGTATCTTTAACAAATTCACTGGAACGCCTTTACTACCACTTCAGAGAGTGTAGAGAGTGTGCTTACTTAAACCTAATGCAGGAATTACTGATCAATCAGCATAGGTTAGCAAACTAATGTTTTACGCTTTCAACAAATTTGGGAATACCCCAAATACAAGGTGCCCCAAACACATTTCTTATTTTGTAATTCAACGTTGCGCCCAAGTGAACGATTGCTATCATCATTCATCAAGAATAGACTGGATGTCATGCTGTGCATTTCATGACACACGATCCTTCGCTAACAAAGTGTGGAGGGTAAGACTAAAGAATCTTTACAAAGCAAATAATCCGTTAAAGCCATTGCTAAATAACAGTACAATTGCAGACATAAGCTTTGACAATGAATAAACATAATCATCATCATAGACATTCTAGAATATAGCATAATTATATATATAAGCATAATAATATAGCACCTTTGATGGCCCATCATTTAAGGTACTTCATGTGATATGTGTGCATAAGGTGAGTGTCATAGCTAGGAGAGGTGTATTGTACAAATTAACCCCTACTCTTTTGCGCTGAATGCCTACTGTTGGCCCCAGAGCTATGCTCAACAGTGCCCAAATATTTGGACTTTGAGTGTTTCTCACAGAATGGCTGGATCATGTTACCTCAGCATACATGAAAGTAAAAGGGAAACAATTAACTTTGTCACTTAACCGTGTCACTTAATCCAGTGCTTTGTCTGCAGGCTCTCCTAGTGATCGCATGACTCCTGCAGCTTAACCAATTCATCAGCGTTCTTAAATTAAGTCTGTAAGATTATCTGATCTGAGCAGCTCATTCAGACCTGTGCTGGAAGGATTCTGGGGAACGTTTGTTTTTTTTTTCTCTCTTTAATTGTAACAAAGTCTGCCACATTCACTTGTGGTGTGTAAGAAGATACGTGGGGAGCTAGCATTCCTTATTTGTTGGTGCAAAAAAATAGAAAGAAGCTCACAATTGCTAAGGTCTGGCTTCTCTAAAGGCAGTTTTAAGCCCTCGTGGAACTCATGAGCTCTTTGCAGCAAAGTCAACATCCCTGCGTTATTCGCCTGTTTTTCATGGTAGATTTAATTCCAGCAGTTCCGACACACTCTCAGTGAGGTTCACCTAAGGGCTGTGGTTTCCTAGTCGCATGTTTGGATTGCTGAGCCTCCTCTTAAGTCCCGTGTGATTGGTATTAAGTGGGCAGTATTTATTAATTCAAACACAGAGAGACCCATTTATTGAAAACTCCAAGCAAGGGCAACTGTTTGTTGCTGGTAGGGCTCAGCCAGAGCTGAGGACAGCTGCTTGACTTGCCGGCTCCCTCCGGCTGTGTGGGGTGGAGTTTTGTTGCCGATCCCATTCCCTTTTCTTCCTGTGTCCCCTTTTTTAAGAGAAAAGGCGTTGAAGCTTGCATCACAATTAGTACGATCTGTTTATTTAAGAGCCAAGAATTAGCTGGAGCTCAGCGCGATAACAAACCTTCCCTGATTTTTTGTTTCATGTCATGGTAAAATAATGACTTCTCAGTCTTGCTAGAACGTAAGGATGGCTACAAATTAGGCAAGGCTGTTTGGTAGTGACACAATCCTTAATGAATCTACAAGTACACAAGTCATACAGAACAGAACAGAAAAATACATAAGAGTAGAATCAGCTTAATAAAATGTACATCCATAATAAAACTAGAGCTGTTCCATTTGACTGTTATCACTGTCTTTCCTGTCACTGTTTCAGATTCTGTCTTCAACAATGGCCGTGCTACAGATTATCTGTTTGTAGGAAACATTGTCTACACGGTAAGTCACACTATCTATCACTATCACTGAGACTTAGGCCTTTTGCTAGCATTGACAAGCGACAGGCATTTCTATAATCAGTCACCATGCAGGCACAAACCAGAGATTCAAACTTTCATGAATCTAAATGCAGTGTTAAAACGGGCTTAGTGAGTGCTAGGTATCTAAATGTGCGAGTTTTCTTTTAGATGGTTCCGTAAACATTTCGTCAAAACATCTCTGTGCCTTTTGAACACTTGGACGATAACTGAAAACCATGTGAGATAATGTACAAGACTGCCTTTGTATTGATTAGCTCTGCAGTGTGTACACACCACCCTGGTAATGAATCACTTTAAGCTTCTGTTTTGAAAGAGTTTGAGTCCCCTGTGGTAGATGGTTTAAGCAAAAGTGCAAGAGCTTGTCCATTTTGTCCACATGGCCGCACTCAAGGGTTGTTTCCTGTGTTTTCCGCAGTACGTGGTGGTGACCGTCTGCTTGAAAGCTGGCCTGGAAACCACAGCCTGGACCAGAGTGAGTGCCACCACACTTTATATTGTGTCTGCTGAACCACAGGCTCGGCCTTTCAACCCTTTTGGTCTACAAACAGCTGGCGTGCACCAGGTTAAACTGATGCCATAAATGTTTCTTTTCACTCGTTTTCTTCTCCTTTGATGGGCATTGACGGGTAGCAAAGAATGTCAATAGTTTCTATAGTGCAGTTTATCGTTGACATGACCTCAAATAGCTAGGGGTCAGTTACTCAGCGTTCTGAATGGCTTCTAGAGTATGGAGAGTCAGATTAGCTCATGCTCCAGAACTCACTTGAAGTCAAGTCATTTTAACTGAACTGCACAGGTTTCTTCTTTAACCCTGAACAGAACAGAAAAGCCCCAGCTCTGCTTAAGAACAATGCAGTCCATTAAATGTGAAATACCACAGATTCAACTAGTGTTTCAGGTCATTCCACTTGTGAGTGGATGTATGCAACCTTTCAGTTTTGAAAAATAATTTTTTAACAGGACACGGCTTTTAGCATCTTTTAAAAGTTTTAGTTTGTGTGTCTTCATTTTTTAACAAATTATTGGCTTTTGGGGATTAAAAATATGCCTATATATAAAAGCTATGACAATAGATAAGCACATGAAAATTAAAATAATAAACAGCATATTTACGTTGAGTTTATCATATTACATATTTCTCTTCTGGAGGATGTGCTAGTTTCCAGTTACACTCACCGGATTACCAGAGAATCAGGCCGAGATAATCAAGCTTCTAGATCTTCAGGAATGACTCCTCACACCCTCACTCCTCCTCACTGGACTGGGGGGTGAATTTCACTTTTTGATAGCTGGTAGATTGTCTTTGACCCAGTTAACCAGAAAACATTTTCAAGCACCAAGTTTTGTACTTTTTTCATTCGTTTTATGTGAAGAAGAGTCATTCCTATTATATCAGTTATCACTGCCAGGATAAACACCCAGTGGTCCCTGTCTATTCTGCAGTTTAGCATTCATTCGAATTCTTGTCTTATCTTCATCCAAACATTTTTAAACAAAGAACAGGCACTGAGATCTCTGAATATTTTTTTTCAATAATATTGAATATACTGTATGTTTGATTCTGTCTTCATTCACACCTTTTGTACACCTTTGAACACATTTGTACAGTATTAACTGTTACAGTGTTTTACGACAAAACAGAAGCTAACAACACCGGGGTTAGAGAATTCCCTAATGCCTATAAAATTGTCTGTTTTCGTGTTTAATTCAGCACATGAATATAGTGTTCGTCTGGTGACAACTGATTTATGAGGTGCTCTAAAATAGTTTTGTCATGAAGGTTAAAAAATCCTTATTTGAGATTTAATGGATTCTCGTCACCTCCACTGTCGGAGGGATAAAATGGCCACTCTGGGATAATAGAGATGGAAGCTGCGCTCTCAGAGCGTCTCGGTGGGAAATTCACTCTGCAGGTCACAGGGCACCCCGGAGGGAGAGGCTGTGGGGATTTGGAATCTCCTAATTGAAGTGGCTTTATTAACGAGGGCCAGCGTGGCGGCGCTCGGAGAGGATGACACGTTCCCTGCCCGTTAAGCTCCGCTCGCTGTGGGAATAACGAGCTCTTTCACAGCTCCAGCTCTGCTCCTTCCTTTAATGTGTCCCCAGTGCCTCTTACCGGGAGCCCTCGGGGGGGGAAGGGGGAGGGGGGCGCAGGGAGCTTAACAGACAGTTTAAAAAATCCTCCCCATCCATTAGAAGGAACATTCCTGCAGTGAGCTGAGCCTGCGGAGCACAGGAGCAGGGGAGGGGCGGAGAGGCAGGGCAGGTGAACACCAGTGATGGGAGAGAGCGAGCGAGCGAGGGAGGGAGGTGCAGGGGGTTGTCTCCCAGGGGACGGCATTAACACAGGCAGTCGCCCTCAGCGCGCTGCCTGCCGCTCAGCTGTCCCCAGCCGCACAGCCAGGTAATGAGGCGCAGAGGCTCTTGAATTCGGCGTCGCCTTGCACAGAGGCCAGGACAGGATCCACTCTGCATTCAGATGAAACTCACTCAGACGTGAGGGCATTCTGTAGGCTGAGAGGATTTCAGAAAACGGATACAAAAGTACAGTGTATGACTGAAGTACCATGCATAAAACGTAATCTGTTAAAATAATTGCTAAATTACAGTTGCAGACATAATCTTTTACACTCCAGATGGTTACTCACTCATTGATTTAATATGATATAATAATATAATAATTAAATATGATTCATTTAATATAATATTGCTTGTAATGGTGTATATACAGTATGTGTCAGTGTCAGTGTTTCCACTTCAAGTAGTAATAAAGATGGTGCAGTAAATGAGCTGGTTTATAACAGAGGCTGATGATGCCTGTAACTGCAGATGTGTGTTCCTTTGCAGTACAGACATTGTTAATAGCTCAACTGGAGCAGCTCAGCATTACCTGTGGGTCTTAAGCAGTTATTGGTGATCAGATTTCCCTTAAATCTGCTGGAGATCAGCCTTAAAAATCTAAGCAGCAGTTAACCCATCTTGAAGAGGCTAAGCAGGACAGTTCTTGAATGTGAGGCCTCAGTGAGAAACCAGACTGCCACTGAAAGTGGATTGTGTGCAGAACTGTAACCTGAAATTTCCAAACTAATGCCCAGCTGGGTGATGGTAGACAGTGTTATAAGAGCAGCTAAACTTGTTTTTTTGAAGATTTAAAAATTGAGTCCCCCTGAGCCCTTGTGGTTGTTAAGGATTCCATGGTACCACATTTTTCTAAATTTTTGGGAGTGCTCTTCTTCAAAATTAATCACATTAACAAAGCATTTCTCCGCTACCCCTTCACACCTTAATACAAAAAATGAAGCATTTCTTATTAATGAACTAAGAAGTAAGAAGATGTTATCTTTATATTAGAAAGATGTTGATGTCCTCTTTGCTGAAATATCGCCCATTCTCTCATTGACAGCAGCTGTTTTGCGTGAGGACCTTTTCTGATCCGACGCACTGTGTTTATGATAGACCGATACGTCGTTAAACAATAAATCAACTGAATCAAAATTAAGAGTCGGATATATTGACCATGGAGACAAGTCTGACACAAGACATAGCAGTTATTTACCATTTTATCTGCTCAATCCTATGGGAAACTCTCAAACCTCAAACAGGTACAAATTAAAACTGCATTCACTCCTGCTTTAACAATAACATGATCATAAATATTGGGGGTTACCTGAGCTCACACAGCACCCACAGAGATGGCATCCATCATACTTTTTGTGGGAGTGGAGGTGCTAACCCAGAATCATGGCTAAAGTCCAGTAAAGGCTTTCCCAGTCTAGTCCTAGATGAATTCCCCTCCCAGTTTGGTGAAGTAATTTTTTGCTTCTTTATCTTTTCAGAAGTGAAGCTAAGCCACTGATGCACCCAACTTTGTGCTGCTCTTTAACAATGAATGAAACATGTCCCCTCTTACTTGTAAATGAACCCCTTTTGGGATTTGGCTGGATGAAAGGTTCTTGACAGAATGCCAAGAATCATTATTTTCTCATTTGTGCAGCTCTGGTTTAACACAGTCCCCCTTTCTGATTTCAAAATCCTCTCCTGGGTAACCCCCAGCACTGTGGATTTATACAGAAACCCCCCCTGAAATATCACTTTCATTGTTTCATTATCGTCAGGTTTAACAAGGCTCAGCGTGTTCATCACTGTCCAGTAATTAATTGTGCCTCAAAATGAAAGGGGTGAAAAAATGAATTATCTGAGAAAGAGCCCTGAATCCCTGCTGATACTCAGGCAGAGGAAGCAGCTCACTCTTTGTTGTGGTCAGCAGGGGAAAGCGAGGAGGGGAAAAGGGAACTTCAAGTTAAACTTTAAATTTAATTGGAAATTTTTCTGTCTCCATTTTCTTCATCTCAGGTCTTAATGAGCAGCTAATTAATGTTAATTTAAACTGTTGACACAGAAGTCCTAATGAAAAAAGAAATGCTTTTGTAGCAGCAGTGGATTGGAGGTACCCTGAGAGCTGGGGAAGTTTTATGAGCTAGAGACTGCATTTCTGCACAGCCTGTCAGTGTCTGCCTACATTTACTCCAGATGCTGGGGAACTGAGACACCCTCCCAGAGGTGATGTTGAGCTGCAGGTTTAAAGTTATACCCATCGAAAAATGGTCGGTTTCTGCAATCTTTTTTCAGCACTCTGCTTGCACTCATCTGCACTAGAATCTAGAGGTGCTTAGAGGGGTTTGTGTTAGATTAAGGATGATCCACGGGTTAAAATGGGACACCTGCCTTTGTTGGGTGTGGGAGCTGCTTCGTAGCTTTTTTCATTTCCCTGGATGCATAGAGGGGAAGGATCTCCTTTGCATCTTTTTCAGTCTGCAGAAAATTGTACAGCTGCCTCATTTGAGGGGAAAACGGGACCCAAGGTCACTCAGCATGCAATGTTCAAAGTGTCAAGAGGGAGAACAAGTAGTTTAGGTGGGCAGCTGCGTCTGCGCGGGTAGGCTGCAAAGGAACAAATAATAGGTTTATTCCATGCTGAAAAGAGAAGAACGAAAACACAGCGTTTCGGCTGTGGAGCCTTCTTCGGGAGTTAGAAAGATAGGGCAGTGAGCAAAGAAAATATAGCGTGGGAAAACAGAAGCCAGGAGAGAGGAGGAGGCAGGAGGAGGGGAGAGGCGGAGTGGCCAATCAAGTGGTGCGAGGTCGAGAGAGGTGAGGAGAGGTGTGAAACAAGACCTACAAACCAATAGAGAGAACAAATCTGTCGTTAAGGAGTTTAAGAAACCCTACTTTGAGAACACAGACAGGGAGATCGGTGTGATCATGGCCGTCAGAGGTGAAATGAGAAACTATGGGTTTGGGGAAATCTTATCTTCACAGCCCTAACATGTTCTCTGAATCAAAGAGTGAAAACGAGTGAACTGTGAACTTCCAGCGTTTGCAGTCGCATCCCTCTCTTCCTGCCTTCACTTCGCCCTCTCTGCTTCCCTGCAGTTTAGCCACCTGGCTGTGTGGGGCAGCATGCTGCTGTGGATGGTGTTCTTCGCGGTCTATTCTGCCATCTGGCCCGCCATTCCCATTGCTCCGGACATGCTCGGACAGGTCAGTCCTTCCTCCGAAACATTCTGGGCAAAGCATTCCCGAAAAGGAACACTGTTGCTGTCTGTCTGTCTATCCAGCCTGCTAGCCAAAGACTTTCAGGTTGCCCTACTCATATTGTTGTTGGCTCAACTAGCAATCCACCTATTTATGTCTGTCCCTTTGTACAGCGTATCTAGCTAGTTTAAAATAGGACAGGTTTGCTGATTCTACCAGCAAGCAGTAATGGACAAAGTTCCTTAAAAAAGCAATCCATTTCAGATACAAGTTACTTGGGTAAGGGATGAGTTTTAAAAATGAACAAAAAGAGGGCTGGAAATAATGTTAAAAAGTTAGTTACAGATATCTTTGTGTGTACAGCTACATTGTAAAGTAACACATCAGCTCTTAAAAGCAATTTCTCTTAACATCTTATTAATTTACAATAGTATCTGTAACTGTAATGCATTATGCTTTAAAAGAAACTTTCCATAACAATGCCAGCAAGGCATGTGAAAATACATTTTCTGAAAGACTGAGCCTTTTTTTAATGTTACTAAAGCACCAATGTTGCATTTAATTGAAATTTCTTCCTGAAATCGGGAAGCTGCTGTGAGATAAATCTTTCCAAGATTTCCAGTGTTTGTACTGGCTGTGCGTCCTGTTTCTGAAGGGCTTCTCTGAACCAGGAGAGAGAGAGAGAGCAGAGGGAGGGGTGGGAGGAGAGAGATTGACAGCTGTGGGCTGCGATCACCTGTTCACACGCTGGCAGGGGGAGCCTGCTGCCCTACTTTCAGCCAGCGCTGTGCCCCCGGTGTGCTCTGGGAAAGCAGACTCCAGGAGGGAGGGGCACATGCTCCCTGCTCCAGCCAGCTGCACTCATTAGCCTGGTTTTACTCTTAGTTTGATTTCTGTTCTTCTCAAGTTCGTTCTTTTATATTATAAGTGCAGGCCTGGGTGGTCCACTGGTTAAGATTAAAGGTTTCTTATCAAGCATTCTCTGAGCCTAAACCATACTGTACCTCTCTCAGCAGCACTCTCAGAACAGTACTGAACCTCTTTCTGTTCTTGCAAAAGTAAAATCAAGCTTCACTTCGGCAGTGCCACATAGATCACTACACCTGTCTTTTTAAACTTAATCATTGTGGTTGCTCCTCTTGGTAAGTTTTCCCGAGATATCACTCATCGAGCAAACCATTTCCCTGTTTAAATATTGCTCTTCACAGGTGCTGCTTTTCTTAATCTTTAAATGTCTTTGATTTTGCTTAACAGACATCAAGTTAATAAAGGAAAGGAGGCTATTTAGCTCACTCGTTTTGATCCCGGTAGCTCCGTGATCCTGTCATTTGTTAAAGGACACCACAGACTCAACTTCAACTTCAAACCCCTGCTGTGTCCGGGGGTTTGTTTCCAACCTCCTACAATCTTCTGATCTTGTCAGAAGTCAGAAGCTAAGCAAGGCAGGGCCAGGTCAGTATTGGGATGAGAGACCAGGTTGCCACTGGGAGTGGTGGTGGATCAGTAGGTGGCACTCTTCCCCCTGGACCAGAATTTCCAAATCACTGTCTCAGAGTGGTGACCGTGGACATGTGCTGCCGTCGGTGTGGTCCTTCAGAAAAGGTCCTGACTACATGATCTTTAAAAAACCTTTCATACGAATAGCTTTAATGAAAAATGACAATGTGCTTTGCTTAGCTAATGTCTTTCTTTACCTTCTATACAGTAGTTGAGATTTAGCTGTGGAAGGTTTAGACATGAATCTGAATTTTCCGCTGAATAAGGAGAAAGACAACCCAAACTTTCCATTTCCCAGCAGGAGGAGTAGTCAGCGGTTTACTTGTAGCTGAAATGAATTCAGCACTGTCTAATGTCTGCATCGTGTGAGGGACACATCGGTCACTCAGTCCCTGGTGTCTCTGCTATCGTGTGGCACGGTGTGCCGGGGGTCATCTTCATTGCTGCTTCCCTCGTGATTTATGGGGGGGCTGACTGGGCACCTGGCCTGAGTTCCCTGTCATTGGTGAGGATGGCTGTTGACAGAGCCGTGAGCAGCTGCTGACAGCTTCCCCAGTGTCCCAGAAATGGCAGCCCTGGCCTGACCACTGGGTGCTGTTGCTAGAAGACGCCCTGGTGCCAGGATGATTTATACCTCAGCAGCCAACTCTCCTTCCCTGGGAGGCCACGTAACTGAGCTGGGCAGAAAGAAGTGCCCTACACCTGCCCCTCGCCCACCCCCCCGTCTCTTTATGGCTTGTTTAGGAAGCTTGGTGGTTGTTTACTCAGGGAGAGAGGGTTGTTTGCATGTCACTTACAGCTGACATGTATAGGAGCACATGACACCCAGGGGCCCCTGGTGTGGGGTGAGAGGGACAGTGGAGAGAGGGGGGATCTCTGTGAGACGGTGTCAGGAAAACACACCAGCTCTCTCGGCACAACATCCTCGGGCTATCCCTAATCACACTCCCCAGGCTGTCCGCAAGGTGCAGGCAGGCCATGAGGTCCCCAGGCAGTTCCCATTGTGCGGTGATGGACAGGGCTGTGTCAGAGAGGGGGCTCTAATTGTGGCGCACAGCCAGGCCCGCGGGCTGGCGGGCAGCACAAGTGGTGGAAAGGGGAGAGAGAGATAAATAAGGACACAGAGAGACAGACGAGCTGCCACAGTGAGCCTGCGGACGACACTAGCTGAGCTCAATTACCCTCATTAATTCAATTTGTGTCAGGAATGTGTGCAAATAAATCCTGCCAGCTGCCGGGGCTCCCATTTCTCCGGGGCTCCGGCAGGAATGCAGGGGCCGAGAGATAGCCTGCCCCTTCCCTCTCCCCATCGCTCCCTCTCCCTCTATCTCTCTATCTGTCTTCCTCTCGTTTGCTCCTATCTTCAGAGAAAGCTGCAGGCTGTGCAGATGCTTTTAGTTTGTTTTGTTTTTCTGGTGTTTTTGTTCTGGTGGAGACACAGATGTGCTGCAAACAAAAGTCAAAGTCATCCTTTAAACCTTCCTGATGTTTTGTGAAACAATTCAGTCTTAGAGCCGTGCAAATGTCATGCCTGATTAGTGGGTAGTGCATGGGGCTTAAAGGAAAAATAAAATCATTTGGGAACACACTTCCTTACATTTCATGTAAGGTTTTAATCAAGAATTGTTCTTGTTGTTGTCATGTTTGTCATTCATAATATTGTAACGCATACGGCCGACAGGCACTGTGTAAGAGCTGGTGTACCAGAGCAGGTGACGTCACCGCCCTTCCCTGTGATAGCAGGACTACAGCTACTGGGCTGTGGAGAGATCTCTCTTTGGCTCACCGGGCTGGGTCCCTGCAGAGGGACGGGGGAGTCCCGGGTTCGAGCCCCCGACGGTGGGGGGCCGACCTAATGCGGCAAGGGCGCCCATCTGAGCCCCCGTTGCATTACAATATGTATTAATTAATAACTAATTTATTGTCACCTAGCATGTGCAAACAAGTAGATTTTCATACATCTGTGCATACTGTATGTACTGTAGCAGATGTAAGCCATGGGAATCCTGCTGTACCTGTAAACGCAACCCTGCTGTGTGTGCTGCTCCGAGCTCTTTACTTGTATTTATATTGCAATAAATCCCTCAGTCAAGTGCAGTTTATACAGCTATTCCACTGACAGTCTAAGACATGTACACAGCAGGCAGGGTTTCCGTTTGCCTACCTGTAGATCTGCATTAAACGTTTTCAGCGGTTCTGTTGCATCCCTCCTAATCTGTGTGTTACAGGAGAGCAGCAGAGGTGGCTGAGCATCAGGTTAGAGCAGCTGGATTAAAAGTATGACACTTGCATTAACAGAGACTTAAGAGAGTGCAGCCAGGTGTAAAAAGGGGTTAACATCTGCTTGTGGGGGGAGGGTGGCATTGTAAACCCCACGAATCTCCTCCAGGAAGAATCCCCCTTCCAGCCGGGTTTCTTAATCTCAGTGCTTAAACCCGCCATACCCCTGGGCAAGAGCACTGAGAGCTCTCACTTGGACCCTTGAGAGCTAATTGAAAAAGCCCTGCTCTGATGTTATCTCAGCTCAGCCTGCTTAGGGGGTCTGTAGTGCAATGTGTGTGTGTCAGTTCTCCATTGTATTAGTAATATTTTCCTAGTCAGCCAAACCATGTTGACCTTGTTATAGGATATACTCTATATTCTAACATGTTACCTCACTCCACCAAATTTTTTATTCATTTTCATCATCTTCAGTGTATAAATGCTAATGCTTGTATGTATCTGAACTTTGCAAAGCTTTCAGGAGATTTCATTGCTGGTGTTCATTTGTAAAGCCAATATAACCTGTGTTCACCAGTTTCTTCTTGATTTGTATATCGCTTTCTTCTGTGTTTTTTAAAAGAAAAACTGTACATTTCCCTAAGTAGGTTCCTGGAATCATGGAATCGTCAACAACGCCGAGGAAACTGAAACGTTTCCCTCTCAGTTTCCACGGCTGTGACCTGTGCGTCCTTCCTTAGTGAACATTTACTGCTTTGTACAGAAAGAAAAGCCCTTTTCCTCCAGTGTTAAACACCTGCCAGCTCTCTGTCTTTTTCAATTCCGTAATCCGTACGTTTCTACACTCTATTCTTGCAGAAAATGAGCTGATTTTTGCAATTTTATTATGGTGCGTGTTCTCCAGAGGATCCCCAGTACGGCGTTCCGCTCGTTAGCATAGCCGCGGAGAGCCATCTCTCTAATTACCGCTGCAGGGTCGCCGGGACCCAGGCTGTCGGCTTCATTAAAACCCCTGTGCCATGGGACTCACCCTGCCAAAATTAACATCTCACTGACCCCCCTTTTCACTCCTGTCGCAGGGCAGGCAGATAGGAGCTTGGCAGAAGAAGGAAGAGGTCTTTAAAAAAGAGGGAGAGAAGATGCTAATTGTCAAGGCCTGGTCAGGAGCAGCATGCTTTGTGTGCTTCACAAAGGCACTAATGTTTCCCTCAGCATGTGGGTAAATCTGCTAAAGGCCCATCTCCTTCTCTTTTGTGAAGTGTCAGGCTAGGAGAGACAGCAGAAAAAAA